AGAGATGTAAAATATGAAGAGAAAAGAAAAAAAACAATGATATAAAGATTTTAGTTCAGTCGAGAGGGGCTTTTGAAAACAAATCTCCTGATCATCTTCATCTGCCTTGCAGTGGTTCACATCAGAGTGGCCTGGGAGCACACAATCACTTCCTTTCAGAGGAAGCTGAACTACGTCTGCTTCAGAAGCACATCTCGTGCCTTCCAACTGCTAATTTAATTTGCAGGTCAAGACTAGGGGGTAGGCCAGAATAAAACCACAAAATGTATATGTTGTGGACAGCAAGTCCTCAGCACCAACTGTTTCACTTTGTCTACTCCTGTTAGACTGCACAAACTGCCAATTTCAGCATAGCCAGACAGCAAGTTATCTGTTTGGTTTTGTATTTTAGCTGGGAAGAGATAGTGATGTTTCTCAGCACTAATGGTGTTGTCACTTAGAGGAAGAGCTAGAAGTAGAAAATTTTGCACTGATTGTTTATTTTTCCTTCCTGTTAGATAATGATGTATGTAGATAAAGTAATGATAATTAAAAAATTCCCTTAAATAGAGGTATACGTGTTTTTCAAGAGAAATACCAAAATTATCCTCACCAAAGCTGAAGGTCACATCTGCTTTCCAAATCTGTCATTTTAAATGTATGCAGAAATTTGCCTTGCATCTTACGTGGACTGCATTAGCTTATGTCCTGTTTTACTACAGTTTTTATGCTGTCCTGTTCCTGTACATCCTCAGGAAGGAATCGGCATCTTTTGGTACAGCATCTACAATTTTTAGCAAGTGTTTCATTTTTGTAATGTGCACATTTATTAACTGAGGTCAGAGATGTTTGAAAATGAAATGTAATGCATTTTTTCCGTGGGCATCTTGTCTTTTTATGGATGACTGTGCATCAGAAAGATTGATCTCAAAGACAAACATTTCAGGTCTTGATTGTTTGGGTGCAGGTAAGTTCTAAAACCTGTGACTTTTTTATATTAGGAAGGGGAGATAACCTTCTAGCAGATTTTTTAGCTTTTTTGACAGATGAAGAGTATCAAATTTTGTTAACTATATGTTCTAAAACACAAAATCTTACATTTACAGTTCCATAGAATTATTTCAGCTTCTGTCTTCGGGTTTCTATCCTTGTGAACAGGATATTTGATTGGTTTTTATAGCAGCATGTTAATTTTCTTAATTTCCAGGAGTTCTTCAGAAAACTACCGTATGCCAGTGATGGAATACAAGGTGAATGAAGGAATGTCGTATGAATTCAAATTTCCTTTCAGAAATAACAACAAATGGCAGCGAAATGCAAGCAAAGGGCAGGGGCCTCATGTGGCTCAGGTGCCATCCCAGATACAAAGTCCGGTCACATCTAGGATTGGCTCTGGGAAAGGAGAAGGGAAAGTGCCACCCCCAGAACGAGCAGCCAACATCCCCCGAAGCATCTCTAGTGATGGACGCCCATTGGAGAGCCGGAGGTACGTGTCATCTTCACAAATGGCTTTTCATTGCTGCTCAGAATCTTGTCTGGAAAAAAGCACAGTCAATTTATTTAAATATCTGAAGACTGCTTTTAATCTTGTTTTTAATTAGTCAAAATGCAACATGAATATGAGCGAAACATTAGCCACAAGGAAATATCTTTCCTGGCATGTTTAACCACAAAAAAGTATTACAGGATTGTTAGGCCATGTTTCCCTGTCTGGGATGCTATTCTAGAACTGCTGTACTGTTACTTAAGTTTTAAATTAGTTACAATTGAAGTTTTAGATCTAAGTGTTCCTGAACTTCTCCATCCAATCAGAATTTTAGCTTGTTTGTAAGCTTGGTAGAATTGCCTCAAGCTCCCAAGGCAGAAATAGCATCTAACAGGGTGTTCAGCAAGAGAATCATGGTCAGCACAGGAAGCAAATTTATCTGATTGGGGAGTTTTCAAACTTTTGGGGCTAGAGAAGAGATTGCTTTAAGTTCGCTTTTCTCCAGGGTGGTTTGGGGGTTTTTGCTGTTTGCATTTATTTTTTTTAAACAAGAAAGAGATTATTATTATTAAGATAAAAGTACCAGGCACATCCTGTCACAGTATTTTCGTTCTTTCATGGAAGAAGATGTATTTGATAGTACTAAAATGAACTGTCATTGTTTTGATTATCTATACAAATCTGTCACTGTCTCTGCATTTACAAAGAGATCTGTTGAGGGAAACAAGCTCCTAGCTTGTATTTCTTATTGTGAACAATTAAAAAAAAAAAGATGTAGACAGATTCTGATCGTGCTTTATGTTGTTGAAAAATATAAAGCAGTGGGAATAAGATGCATATTGTAGAAAATGTCAAGAACATTGTAATGAATTAAAGCATTTTTCACATCCTGAGAAACTGGGGATAAAAAAAATGTTCAGAGGTGGTACAGCCAAGACCAAGAAACTGACAAGGTCAAATTGAAACTTCTGTGTAGGACACCTTGTTAAGAAATTATAATATTTGGTAAGGACTTCATTTTCTTGCTTAACAGACAAACTTACCAGTTTGTCTGTGAAGAAGGTTGCAGAAGCCAGTGAGACACATGACTTAGCTCTCTAATGGTATATTTGGACTGGCATAAAAATTGCATGGCTTCAGGCCATAGCTGCCTGTTACAGCTGAAGACAGGCAAATGCTGAATTTGAAGGAATAGGATTTGAGCTGTTGGGTTTTTTTGCTCTCTCCAGTGCTGTATAATCTCACTCTGTAATTACGGAAGGCATAGTAATATCTGGGCAAAGTTTAAAGGAGTGGCAGAAGGTCAGATTCAGTTGAGTTGCTGTTTCCTTCAGACTCTTCTACCTCTTCACAGTATTAACCAAAGAGTTTTGTCTAGAGTCTCCAGTTGGCTGTACCACAACTTGTGCCAAGGAGAGGGAGCCTTTGGCTGCACTGAGACAGGGTATTTACTGTCTCTTTCTTGTGCATAAAATCCTGTGTGGGATTGCACACCTGAAGCATCCAGGATTTATCAGTCACTGGATGCTTCTAGACCGAGGGGGGTTATGGCCTGACAAGTGTTGGCAAAGTGAAAGTTGCATTGCCATATGCTCAGTATTTGTTTTCGTAAGGTGAAACTTTGACTATCCATTTCCTTCACTTTCAAGGCATTTTGAGGGTTGTTTTTTTTTCTCTCCTAGGCATTCTTTTAAGTATTTTTTATTGTTATTGTTCAAAAAGGGTTCTATTGGATCTTTTCGTCCTTAAAAGTATGTTATCAAAGTAGCTTTCAGGCTTGGCTGGGAATTTTTTTGGATGCCTGAAAAATGTCTTTTCTCTTATCTTTCTGGTTTGCTAAACGTGTTAGTCTTGGCTGGATCAAGTTTAAATATAGCAGCAGCTCTATAAGGTTGATGTGTTTCCAGTTAAACTAAAAAAAAAAATACATTTTTGTCATTTTAAAGGATTACTGGAGGGAAAAAAAGGCAATCATCTCCCTCTAAGACTCATTTGTCTTTTCTCTGCGTGATAAAAGAAAGCTTTGCTTTTAGGGAAGCACAGATACTTCTTACTGTGTAAAATCTCTAAAATCAACAGAGATGAGATTTTCATAGCCCTCTGAACTACTGTCTCATTTAATTTTTCACCACTAACTTTCATACTTTGCATAGCATAAAGATCACCCATCAGGAGATGCTGGAATCTCTGTGTGTTTCTGGTGCAGGTAGCAGCCGTGGTGCTCCGCTGTGCTTTTGTTCCCTATGATTTGTTGTTTGCTCAGCTCTCAGCTGGTTGGAGAAACGGAGGATGGACCAAGGGTAACCTGGTAATATGGATTCCGGGATCTATACTGATGGTCCCAGTGATCCAAAAAGAGCCTTCTAATTGACCTAATTATAAACGTGACCCCACCGTACACAAGATGCCTACTTCACTCTCTCTCTGTCTGTCTCTCTGCAATGTCTATGTTCTATAGAGCAGTTTTAAAGTTTTAAAGGGGTTTTAGAAAAAAGCACCTGTCATTATGGCTCATTATCAAAGCAGTACAGATATCCTAGTCTTCCTTACAGCCTTTAGAGCTTCACTTTCAAAAGGAAGGTACTGCCTAATTGTCAGTGGGGCTGGAAACTTACCTGTGAAGATCGGCATCAGTAAATAGTTTCAGTACTAAATTATAGCTGTAACCTGAATTTTAATCTTTGGTTGTGATCTAGATATTACTATCTATTACTTGTGTTTCTGCAGTGCTGAGCCACACTTAACTTCCTGATATTTGACTGATCTTAATACTTGGTTGTTTTGAGACTGGAGCTGGCATTTATCCATTGGTGCTCCTGCCTTTGACTGCACATTCTTTGTTGATTGAGCCAGACGCCATCACAGTGATGGCAGATCTCATCTGCTGCTAAGAAACAGCAATATATAGCTTGCAATCTATGTTTTAAGGGATGTGGCAGCTGAGAAACCCATAATAAATTGACCTACGTGGTTCTTGGAGCTCTGAATCTGAGGTGATTTTTGGGACTAGTGCTGATAGCAGTCACCCAGGGCCACAGAAGGTTGGTACCATCGTTGGCCATGGCTCCAGCAGGTAGGGTGTCAAAGAATGCAATAGAGGCATTATAATATTTCTGATGCGTCAGACCTGACATGGTGCTCATTTTAGTGGTAACATATCCACATATGCATACTGAGTGAAACAAATTTTTATTTTACCCATGTTGATATCTTCACTTTAGTCCATTTAACTATGTTAAAAATAAATAAAAACTGGATTACTGGTTCTGAAAACAGGAGGATTTCACTTCATATGCATAAAAGCATCTTGCCTCTGCTGTTGCAGGTGGGCGAGTACCTTGCTTGACAGTCCCTGATTCTGAGAAGGCAGCCAAATGCCCAGTCCTGTGCCTACCAGCAGAGTACTTAAGTTTGCCTTTATTGGATTATCTTCATATATCAAACTTACTAGCTTGTACTTAAATTCTCCCTATTCCTCATAGTATCCTGGATCCTTGAATATATTCATGATTGTTGTGCATTATTTGTAGGCAGAAAAGAAAACCAAAACTTTATAAATGCTAAAATGAATCTCTGATGTTACCGAAACATCAAGATTGAAAAATCTACTAATAGAAATGCAATAAATTCCAAGTCACAGCTTGTTTCACAACATTAATTAGTCCACACAGGATACTGTATAGCCTATAACCCAGAATAAATATCCAAGTGATACATTAAGGAAAATAAGTGTAAACTGCATATTTGTGAAGTATGCCAGAGCACGTGTTATTGGAGAAGATGTAATTTTAGAGCTTGATTTATTTTTCTTTTCCTCCTCCCAATTTTCAGGGTTTTTTGTATACGCTTGCTTTCCAGACTTTATTTAAGAGAAAATCGTGTAGAGAAAGGAGATGGGATAGTGTTAGATGATAGTCTCTTAGTTAACTTATCATAAACTGGAACCAGTCTTAACTAAAACTTGAATCAACAAACATGTGAAAAGTGTGAAAGCCGGTGAGCAAAGCATGCTGCTGGACTTGTGCACTTCAGTGTGCAGTTCAGTACTGTTCTGGGTGAGACCTAAAAGCTCTAACTAGAAAATTTCTGAGAACAGTCAGTATTTTAAACCAAATGTAAAATTGAATTACAGCATGACTGCAGTCAAGCACTGGCTGTAAAATTCCACAGTATGGACGTATTAGAACAATATTCATTAAGACTAGTTTTAAGTCTTAATGAGGATTTTGGAGCACAGCTTTGCCTTAAAACTTAATTCTTCTTTGAATGATGCATGTGTGTAGTCAGTGACAGTAACCGTGGCAGTAGTAGTTAATAGGTTAGTTTCTGCAGATAGATTCTAGTTTAAACTGTTCCCATATTATATAAAAATCCTAATCTGCTGATGCTTAGCTTGGATCAGTGACGTTTTTAATATAAACAAGCAGGTGTCTGTGCTCATCTTGCCAGCTGTCAAGTGAGCGTTGCAGCACACCCATTGCCGGCCTCACAGGGTCTGAGGATTTGTTATTTTAAAGTTTTCATAACATTCTTCAAATTAAAACATGTACTAGCATGAGATTATATATTAAACGTTTTTTACTGGCACCAGGACCTAGAGTGGGATGTAGCAGTGGAAAAGGACCATGAAGATGATTGGGGGCTGGAGCACTTCCCCTGTGAGGACAGGCTGAGAGAGTTGGGGTTGTTCAGCCTGGAGAAGAGAAGGCTCTGGGGAGACCTTACAGTGGCCTTCCAGTGCTTAAAGGGGGCCTGCAGGAAAGGTGAGGAGGGACTCTTGATCAGGGAGGGCAGTGATAGGATGAAGGGTAACAGTTTCAAACTGAAGGAGGGGAGATAGAGATCAGGAAGAAGTTCCTCGCTATGAGGATGCTGAGACACTGGAAGAAGTTACCCAGAGAAGTGGTGGCTGCCCCCTCCCTGGCAGTGTTCAAGGCCAGGCTGGATGCGGCTTTGAGCAACCTGGTGTAGTGGAAGGTGTCCCTGCCCATGGCAGAAGGGTTGGAACTGGATGATCTTTAAATTCCCTTCCAACCCAAACCATTCTATGACTCTAGGAAGAGCAAAGGTTTGTTGGTACACCTGGCTGTATGGCCATACTCCTGTGTTCCAAAAACATCTGAGAAGAGCCACGCTGTGTCATGTCAACATTTGGTCTCTCTTGTTTGACAGTGGCCATCAGCAGGGACTAGAAAAAAAGAGTAAGAAATGCTTACAGATATAAAAGAAGGCTCCTTATGAGGTCCAACAGTCTCCTGGCTGGCCGCTGCTTAAGGTTGCCTGGAGCCAGATGCACCTGTACCTGTGTGTTCCACAGCTGTGGATGGTATCTCTTCATCCAGGTGCCTGCTAATTGGTCTCTTGATAGTTCCAGGTCTTCTACTTGTTCTTTTGTTACGAGGGATAATGAATAATCATTGTTTGCTTGATCCAATATAATTTCCATTTAGATGGATTGAAGCAGGTATGATAAAATTCAGTATAATCTGTGGAGCCATATAGCCTGTTCAGTGTTTCTTGATACAGAAGCCATTCTGTACCCCTCTGGTTGTCCCATTAAATGCCTCTACGTCTTTTCTTCTTATAATACGTGTTTTCTGAAATGTGATGATCAAATTGAAGACAAATATTCAAGAAGGTATACAGTGAGGTGTGAGACAGTACAATATGACAGCATAATTGCGTTTTCTGTTTTCATTCACTGGCCTCTTCCCGAAAATTGCTGATGTTCTTTTTTCCTTTTTGAATGGTTTCCTTTTTAACATGAGAGCATTCAGTCAGTGTTTTCAAAGAGCTGTCACATCTTGCAGTATTATTAGGATTGCAAAAATCAAACACGTGGAAGGTAAGCATGCCAGAATTAAGATTTGCTGTGCAATTTTATTCAGAACTCGTGTAACCATATTTTCTGATACTTCCTTTGATTAAATTACGAGAATTTCTTTTTAACAGGACATCTGCCTCATTCAGTTCACACAGTGGATGCAGCTCATTAAAGAAGAGCTATTTTAATATTTTATTTTCCTCTTCATTACTCCATCCCTTATTTACTGGATGGCATTCAAATCCTGCTGTAAAGATGCAATTACTAATTCCCCTCTAAGCTTTACAGTGGCGCCCATCACTATAGTTTCTGAATGCTTCACGGGTATTAATTAAACTTAATTTTTGAAACTCTTGTGTGAGAAGAGATGTCTTTGGCCCTTTTCAGTTTAAGAACAAAGGTAGAGAGAGAAATTATGTTCTAATCACTTGCTGTGTCTTACTTTGGGCATCTCACATGTGGAAGTGTGCCCAGCATTGTTAATATTTTATATATTCAAATTACAGCTTCAGTTGACTTCAGCTGCTTTGGTAAGTTTTCAGCTCAGAAGTAAATCGGGCCTTGGAATCAAATAAGGCAACTTGCAATTAGTGACAATGAATGAAAAATGTTCTTTAATATGCCAAGGGTCGTATTGGAGTGCTGCAGCAAGTGCAAGATAAGAATTCAGTTTGCTAAATCAGCACTGAAACGCCTTGACTATAACACCATCTCTTCTGCCAGCCTGTGCCTCCTTCACTTCTGAGCTGGGCAGCTCTTGCAGCAGGAGCTGTAGCACGAAATAAAAGTGCGTGGGGCAGAGGTCCTGAGGGAGAGGGCACCTGTGTGTGATCATTTAACTGAAGGCTGCCTTAGGCCAGAGGCACAAAGCATGCTAGGCTGACATGTTTCTTATGATGTGTGTATTACATATCTATGCATACCGAAGATGTGGGGAAAATTACAGGTAATGACACGGAAATCAATTTAGTAAGAGCAAGGTGGATGCTTTCGATGTCTGTGTTGTCATACAAAATAAACATATGCCCATCCCACTCTCTGCCTTCACAAAAGATGATTTTCTTCCCTTACTTGGCAAGACACAACCAGTCCTTTCAGGATGAACTAGATCTGTTAGAACTAAATCATGCATGGTATAATCCCAGCTCAATTGACTGCAGTGTAATTGTATCTGTTTAATGCAATGGACGCTTGGCCTATTTTTAAATTCAATTATGGGACTCATGCACTTAACCATTTTGGAATTTCTTCCTAAAGCTGTCTTTTGAAATAGATAATAGCTTGGTTTAGTTTGGTTTTTAATTATAAATAAAAGACGAGCACAGAGTATCTTAACTATAGGGGCATACTGCTAACACAGTACTTTTGTCTTGAGAAGTGCCTTTCATCAATAGATTTCAAAGCAGCTCAAAAAGTCAGTTTGAACTAATTTACTCTAAAGTTCTTTTGTCTTATTTATATGTTTCACATAAAATAAAATGTCTTTCACTATTCATGTTTTTAGTGCTATTGTGAACTGTGCTAACGAAATGTATTGCTGCTTTAAATAATAGGATGTCCTACCTGACTCATTGTTCATTGCTGTTGTTCAGACCATACTTATAATACAACTTTGTTTGCCCTCAAGGTCTTTCATCTTTGTAAATGAGTTATAACTCCTTGACACAGTTCTGAAATCTTGACATTCCTTCTGGACAGTGCTGTCACTTTTTGGTAAGGCATAGGAAGTAAAGAAAAGGCATAGCCGAATCTGAAGTGAAAATGTAAGCATTTTCCAACAGGAAGTCATTTTACAGAAATTATTCAAGAAGTAATTTTTTTTTCTCTTTATAAGAGTGCCACTGGGAAAATTAACTGCTTAGCTCATGGCTCCCCAAGTTTCCAGCTCTTTTTGTTGCTTGATGAATGTGAGATAAGCTAAACTGAGTTTGTACACTAGCAAGGAATTACTGGATTTGGTATGGTACTTGTGATGGACAGGCATTAGATCATTCCTTTCTTCTCTGGGAAAAAGTTACTATTAGTTATATGCACTTTATGAAATTCAAGATGATCAAGGTGTTTGTTTTGTCCAGTCCTACTGCTATTTCCATGTTAAGATTTTGTTAGTTTATAGCTTTTTTGCAAAGTACTGAGGAGGACAAATGCGCATTTGATATAAATGTGTGTACGCACGCACACACTCTCTTTGGATACATACATATATACGTAGGTAGTATTAATCAGTGCAATGTTTTTTTTCTTTTCATTTTCAAAAGGGTTTCTGGTCTTTAAAAGTTCTTAAGTATTGTGATGAGAGCTGATTAAAATCTACCACTCGTTTACAGATACAGATTAAGTGACTAGGCTAAGATCTTGTAAATCCCCAGTGTAAGCCTGCTGCCTCCAGCCATTCTGCCCAGGTTCATGTGTTGCAATGCTGTTTATTTGCTGTATCGTTATTCCAACAGGAGGAGGCTTCATATGACTCAGGTCTGTATTTTCAAACGGAGTTCTGATATGTTGAGATAGGCTTATACTAGAATGTTAATTTTTAGGAGGAGGGTTAAGGTATCTATAAATAACGTTACATTTTTTTAGTCCTTGTAATTTAATGTGGAGAAGTTTGTTGGCGTAGAGATAAGCTTGATACTCTTGGAAGAGTTTGCATAGACCGCTCACTACAGTCAGTTTCAGTTCCAGGCAAGAGTTCATTTTGAGAATTAGAAATATTTTGTTCTGTTTGATATTTGAGTGAGGAATGTCAGGCTTTGTTATTTCTTACAAGTAATCTGTAAAAACGAATCGTGACTTCAGAAACTGGGATGTTTTCCTAGTGTGTGCTGGGATTTTTCTCCCTCACTTGCCTCTCTTCATTTACTCCCCTGCATCCAGCTTTTTACGGATCATTTTCCATTATATTCTATAGATTAATGAGGAGGAAATGTCTGATCCTTCAACTGACTTAATTTTTGCTGTCTCCATGTCGCCACATTCTTTGCTGATGGGACAATTTGCATGATGTTGTCCATCGTGCTTTGCACTGTGGTGTTGCTGTTCGGTATCACTGATTCGACTGGTTGATTCGCTCTGAACAGGTTGTCTCCCGGTTCTGATGTCTATGTCACGGTTTCATCCATCGCCTTAGCAAGATCGCAACAGTGCCGTAATTCTCCAAGCAACTTATCCTCCTCAAGTGAGACTGGCTCTGGTGGGGGCACATACAGACAAAAATCTATGCCAGAAGGGTAGGCACCAGCCTTTTTTCATATTCTTTTGGGGCAGGTTTTTTGTTCTCTGTTGCATTTGTTGTAACGTATATTAAACTAAAGGAGTGCTTACGCAGCCTCCTGTCAGCTGTTGTTTACGTGCATTAAAACCTGCTTGTTTTCAAATATCACTGTCATGCTTCTTGAAAAAGTCAACTCTAAAAATCCTTTACTTCCACCTTTTCACTTTGTGACCTAACTCCTCTCTCTGATCCTAGTCTACAACTGCAGGGGTTACTGTGCAAGGGGACCTTAATGTATTTAAAACTCTTCACTAAGGGTACTGGTTTTGGGTTGCAAATTGCTTTAGTTCACAGATTTAGATTCTAAAACAAAAGAAGTAATAGGTTTGGGACTTTGCAGTCTGTGCTAGTATTTGAAGCAAAGTAGTGTTGAGTGCAATTAAGACTTCAGATTTGTAGGCACAAAGTGCTAAGTAATCCACAGCTAGCATCTTTTTCACATATTCACAGTCATCCTCTTTTAGTTTTAAGGTGCCCTCTTTCAACTTCCTGGAAATCTTCAAATGTCAATGTAAGGGGCACCTTGCAGAGGAAGAAATTAAATCTGTATCATTTTCGGAGAGCACTGAAAGGAGCAATAATTCAAGCATCTCCAAGTAGGGAAAAAAAATAATTGGCAGCAGGAGAGCTGTCTACCACATTCCAAATTACTTTCTATAGAGAAGATAAAGGGGCAAAACTGCTGATAGTTCACACTGTAAAGCTTCCCTCTGAAGTCTTGAGTACAGTGCAGATCGTTGTGTGTAATTCATTCTAGTTTGGGTCTATAAGTAAAGTATCTCCTTTTCTATCTAAAAAAAAAAAAAAAAAATTATTACTAAGATTAAAATACATTGTCAGGAACTGATTAGCACAAGGCATTGTTTAGGTGCCCCTCAGGGGACACTGCTCTTTGTCAGGCCAGAGAATGCTGTTCTGAGCATGTGTTTGAACAAGTGCTTCTCACTGGAGAGCACCAAAGACTTGTCCTCCCTGTCCTTCTCCTTGCAGCTCAGTTTGAGGATTTCTTAAGAGACCATCTCTTCTCTGCTGCACATCTTCATGAAGGCTTTGATTCATGAGACTGTCAGGCCTGCTCAGGTCATTATTTTTTGTGCTTAAGTCCTACTGACATGAGGAGATTTTCCCTAAACCCATTGAGCTTTACTGCAAGGAAACTAAATAGAAGTGTGTCCATAGCTCTGCAGCTGGAAAAAGCACTTAACCTCTTTACACGCTGCACACCTCCTGGCTCATTCCTACAGCAGGACTTGTGTTGCCTTGAATTCTGAAGAGCAGCTTGTGCTCCCAATGTCTTGTCTGCTCTTTTCCAACTACGTCATTTGCTCTACAAAAAATGTATTACTGCCATATGTCCTTAGACCATCACAGCCATAACTGCTTGAGTAGGAAGGGATTTTCAGACATGCTAGAGCTTTTATTTTGAATTGGCCTCAGAGCACACCAGCACCCATCCCAGCCTTTTTCCATCTTTTAAGTTAATTATACACATATGTTCACTATAGCATTCTTCAAGCATTTTGCAAGTTCAGCAGAGATGTGCCCTAGAAACCTTGCATATACAGTCGTCTTGGTTTTGATGTTTTAATTTGGTGCAAGGAAGCACTGTTTAAATGGAATAATGAAGGAAGTAATTAATACCTGAACTTTGCATATTCCTTATTGGGTGCTTTTTTAAAAAAAGAAAAATCACTTATTAAACTCCTATTATTTGACTATTATGTTCTGTTTTTACAGGAAAAGCACTTTGCCTCCCATGCTGTCCTTGTACACGTGAATCATGTTTACTCAGGACTTTTTGAACATTTTCTGCCAGGCTAAATGGAAAGCATGAAAAATGTAATTATGAAGGAAACTTTCCCTTGGCTCCATAAGCAAAGTAATGTCTGTCGCATTACTAAAAATCATTGCAAGTTCCATGTGCATCTTCTGTTGTAATCTGATCTGAAAGACCAGGCTCAGGGCAGCTCTGTAGTGCTGTTCGATGCACCAGGTAGAGCTGGTCAGCGATTAACCTGTATACGTCGTTAAAATAAGGGAGAGATGATGTAGCGTTCACTTGCTAAGATGCTGGAGAGAAGGATGGGCTGCAGTAGGGGCCAAGGGGACGCCATGTCCTGAAGGTAGTCTTCCCGAGGTGAGGCTCTAGTATGCCAGTCCCTGAGGTTTCCCGGTGCAGGAAATCCCAACTGCATAATTTGTGTATACATTTCTTTCTTGTTGTATCTGACATGACAGATTTGCAAAGTTTGTGAAACAAATGACTGGAAGCATGGGTGTGAGTCCAACCTCTGTCAGACATGGGTAAGAGCAGTAACTGCTGCCTATTCTAGATTGTTGGTCCATATCCTCAGCTGGGTATAGGCAAAAACCTCACTGCCTTCAAGAATATGCAGATTAGTCTTCATATATATATGTGTGTTTCATATACTTATCCTCCGTTTACCTGAAGGTATGTGTATGTAATAAATGATTGTAGAATGTAAAAACGAAATTCAAAAACACCAAAATAATTAGTTTCTTAGGATATATATAAAATACATATTTAAACAATTCCAGTGTTGTTTTAACGTAGATTGATTTCTCCTTCCAGTTTTTTGGATTCATTCCTGCGTTCCCTAATGGGCTGTATATTTAAGCAGCATAGATTATAGCACCACCTGCATATATTATTCCTGCTTTTAAATAGCCCATGTCATTTAAAAAAGTCAATCTTGAGGTATTTCTTGCTCCTCAGCTAGTAGAGCAGTGAATTTAATGATATAAAATAAGAAAAGTGGGGTTTTATCTCTCTAATCTGGGAAAAAAAACATCCTATATCATAATATATGCCAAGTGCAAAATTGGCTGGTTTTATACATATGAACATTATGGGGTTAGGTAAGAGGACAATGCATAGAAAGTACAATATTGATGTGGGGCAACTTCATCGCACCAAGGTTTCTTGGGGTTTTGGCTTTTTCTTTTAGATACCAACTTCTAGTTAGCTTGTCATGAAAAGATATTCTTCCCAAAATACATCACAAGTCTTAAAAGTTTGAAAATTACTCTGATCAGTGTTTAAAGAATCAATCAGCTTTTGAAACATTGTCTTTAGACTTTTTATGCATCTGTTGAATTGGTATTGACTTAATCGTGTTTAATTTAGGTCTTTGATTAAGTGAAATCCTAGCTAGTCTGTGTGAATAGAAAAGGAAAAGCGTTACTCACTTCTTGCAACTTTGGTTTAAATTATGTTTGTATTCAGAAGGCAGATATAGCCAGGTTTTCTTCACTTTTTTTTTAGTCATCAAACCGTATGTTGGCTATACCAGGGAGCGGGGAACAAATGAGAAGTAGGGTCACCTTAGGGTAAAATTCAGAAGGCCCAGATTTCAAAACGTGATGCTTAGGAGCTGTGCTGCATGTACAGGCGTGTTCCAGCTGCTTGGCTTTAAGGGTGGGAGTGGGATTTGGTTGTTCCAAGTCTCGTGATGTTTCTTTGGCCAGGTTCGTTTGAGCTAACAAGCACCTGACCTTTCAAATGAGATAACCACACCAGCTTGTTCTGGCAGGTGGGCAGGTATCTGGTTTACGTTGGAGGTCGTGTGGGGCAGTCTGTAGCTAGTAGAGAGTAGAAAGCACAGTTTGGGTATTTTACGTTCTGTTATTATGTTAGACACTTAGAGCTAGAGAAATTCCTTGCTATATAGAGAATATATCAGCTTGTAACTCTTTTCGGTGTTACTCTGCATGTAGAGTTTTGGGAATTCTTTTCTTTTAGGGTATATCTGTTAAAAAAACAACAACAAACACCTCAGAAATGCATTATTCTTGACAGATTCTTAATGATTGGTCTGCTAATTCTGAACCCAACTATAATTCTAATAGACTTATAAGTGATTTATATGTAATACAGAATTATAGATTTAATTCTTCAGGCTTTTGGGCATATAAGGCATGTAGACTTTGGTATGGCACAGAGGCACTGTGCGTCTCCTTTGTCATTTGATTGTTCTCCTTGTGTTTACTATATCTTTATTGAGCTTTCTGAAATTCATCTGACTAGTCTAGCAGGATTTACAAACAAAATCCATTGAACGCAGTTTTCCTTTTTGCTGTATGTGCTTTCTTCTACAGCTGTAGGTATGCATGTCCCGCTGCTTCCCTACAGCTGTATTTAGTTTACACTAGTCCACTCAAATTATTTTATGATAGAATAACTTTACAAAATGTATAACCCCTAGATTTTGGGAATACATAACTAATACAGTTAACTTTATAAACACTTATTTAAAATATTTGACAGTGTAATATTGTCCCAAATGAGTCTCTGATGTTTGCATATACATGTGCATCATGTAGGTATGAGCTTACTGGCTTTTTTTTGCTTAGAACACAGGAAAGTGGCTGAGAACCATGCAATTGTCCCAACAAACTTTCTGATGCTCATTTTGTCTAGTTTGAGGTAGTGCTTTCCTGGTTAAAAGGAGCCAATAAACACACTTCATTTCCTATGTGGCTTTTATTCAGACTTTTAAGTTTTATTCATTGCAGACAATTTTCTGTAACCATGTAATGGTCTGGTCACCTTTCTGTGTAAACATCTATGTAAATGAAAACTAATAATTTTATTTCTGGATGTTTTGGTCTGTGTTTTTTAATTGTATGCACTGTGAATGGAAGTTCTTGATCAAAGGTGGTCAATAAGTTAATATGTACTGTAATCTTATGCATTAAAAGTGCTAAATGGGTACTGAGAGCTGCCACAAAAATTAAATGGAAAAGCATTATAAATCCTGCAGCAGTTGTGCTATGCGTTGGTCTGCCCCGTTGTTTGACACTAGGTGCTTAAAAGTGCTTTTTTCCCCTCGTGAGGGGTTTATGCATATTTAAAATCATTATCTGCTTTGTTTTTTGGGGTGTTACAACAGGTTTGGAATTAGCCGTAGATCCCCTGCTTCCATTGACAGGCAGAACACGCAATCAGATACGGGTGCTAGCGGCAAATCCACACCCAGCTGGCAAAGAAGTGAGGATAGTATCGCTGACCAGATGGGTAGGTAATTAATTCTTTACAATGAGCAAGTGGTGCTAACCACAAGGTGACTTTGGCAATACCTCTCCATGAAGAGAGAGAACACTCGTAAGCACTGGGTGTTCAGTGTCTTTGAAAGTTAACCTTGTTCATCAGGATGAATAATTAGGTCTGGAGCAGGTACTAGCTTCTGCAAGTCTGTTTCCTTGAGACCTATGAGTATCACCTGAGGAAGAACTGATTTCAGCTCTTCATTTGATTGTGGGACTAAATATACCTTAATTCTCTTACTGCAAAATGCTCTGTCCTTTTATAAGCACTTGCGTAGACAGACTTATTAATTTGTCTTGCTGTTCAGGACTTATTTGACCTCACCTGCTCTCCCGAGTGGCTTGGCTTAGTTTAATTTTTGCTGAGTTTTTCTAAAGTGCTTGTGATGCTCCCTTTCAGATGGTGCTATATAAATGCAAATTGATTGTTTGATCATTGAAGCTATAAAAATACCATGTACAAAATGGAAAAAATGCAATTAAAGTTTAAATAGTGAAGTAAATCTATAGCTTGGTAATCGCCTTCCACCAGTGTGTACATTTTCATTGCACTGGGCAATTGAGCTGTCCGCTGAGGGAACATATTAACTACATAAAACAGCTGGGTACTGCGAATTTGCTTTGTTGAGCATCCATTTGAAGTTCTTGCACATAGACCTTTTGCTACAGCTATGGCTTGACTTGAGTGGATACCAGTGAGACTGACGCCAACGGAAATGCCCTGTCTACAAACAGCATGGATCAACGCAATGACCATGGCCCATGTTGCTACGTTGGGTTTTTTTCAGTTTAAACAATTCCGTACTTTTTCTGTTGCACATATAGATAATCATCTAACGGCATCACAGCTTTTGTTCTATATAAATGGACTAGTGTTGAACACAGAATAAGGTTCAGTGAGGTCAGCAGGAGTTTAAGGCAAATGGCAGCCTTAAGTTCTGAAGATGTACTTTGTTCACACACCTTCACAACCTCAGTGAGCTGTGCCTTGTTATTGAAGCCATCTGTCAGTCCCTCCCTCACAACTCCCCCCATACTTCTCACTGAAAAGCTGTGATTATACTGATCTGCAATTCTCATTTTGACAGAACGATTTTTAATAGCATATGTTTTGATACTGCGTGATGGTAATGACACGTGTAAAACTGATCTTTTGCTCAGCATTACTTTTACAGACCAACAGTTGGGCGTTGGTGCTGACGCTGAGTGGAGCTGCCAGCAAGTTGTGTTCTAAAATGTCAGATGTCACCATATTAGCAAAATAAATAAAAAAGGCCAAAAAGAACACAAAAAATCATGTGGTAAAAGAAACGGCTCTGGCATTTGGCAAAGGCTGAGAAATGCATACTGACATATAATCCCTGTATTTTATCTCTTCTGTATTGTCCTGCATTCATAGAGTCGCAGTTGGAAGCTGCATCTCTGACTGGAGATTTTATTGCCAGTCTGGTGGATCTAGGTGAAAGTTTGGTTCTATGACAAATAAGCACATTTCCACTTGGGATAATCTGTCTCAAGGTAAATAAGGCCTTAGGTGCAGTGAATCCACACACTCGCTCATTCCTGGCCCATTCTTAGCTACAGAAGACCTTTGTGCACCAACACTGCTTGCTACCACTTGCCAGGGGGAATCCAGTTTGACTTCTTTTTTTTTAATTTGTTTTCAAAAAAAGCTAGTAAAGCTGCAGATTAAGATGAACAAACTAGCTGTGTTGGGGAAAGCACTGCTAATTACTGTGGGTATTGTTAAGTACTTGATGTTCATAAGCACATATTCTACGTAAAAGCAGCATTTTTAGAAGTGCAGAATATTGCATATCCACAGGCGAGAAGATACATGTAAAAAGTCACAAGTGAGAGAGATTCTTTTAAAACGCTGGCCATGGCTCTGAGAAGGCAATTACCTACCTGATGGGCTGTGTCTGAACACCCTCTAGACCTCCATAGTTATCTCTTGGGAAAAAACAAGTTTAATTGGCAAGGAACACTCCTGTGAGTGTCCATGTAAGATAAGTTATTTGAATGCCATCCACTTATGTTAGATTTAGTCATAAGTATTCCTTTTGTACATCTATGCGGTTTCCACATTTGCAGCCAGCGTTTTTTAAGGGAATATTGTGATTTCAATGGACTTTTTGCTATCTCTTCAATTAGAAAGTGTTTATTTAACTTACCTTAAATTTGACAAGAAATATGTGTAGTAGTTGTCCTGAAGAAAATGTGTTCATTTAAGTGATCACTGTAGCCTTTTGCTGTTGTCCTGCCTTGCGTAGAATACAATGTAAGGACATGGGGATCTTCAGATTTTTTTAATCTCTCATCCACAGGCGATGTGCATATAGAGATACAATGTGAATACACTGTGAAAATTAATATTCCACTGTTCTAATTCTCCAATACAGTGCTATTGGACAGTGGGGGCATGATATTCAGGTGGTTGTGACAAAAGGGAGGCTGCTGATTTTTCATGGAGTCTTGCTGATTTACGCCAGGCAGGAATGGGCCCTCACTTACTCACCTGTGTTTTGTGACAATATGTACTTTTTTTTAATTATTTGGAATGAATTTTGTATTGGGTATCCAAAGTTTTTGGCTAATGGTAGTATTAAACTTGCAGTGTAAAATTAGGTTACACATTGCGTGAGTTTGTTGCACTGCATATGCTCTTTAGTGCGTCATTGTGTGCTGTGTTGCAGAACCAACGTGCCATCTCCCAGCAGTATCAAAAGTACTGCCTTCCTTCAGAGAGAGCCCCAGTGGAAGACTGATGAGACAGGACCCTGTGGTTCACTTGTCTCCAAATAAGCAGGGTCATGTAAGTTATCCTAAAAAAGGAATTATTTAATGTTTTGCTTTTGCTCCACAAGCTCTTGATACCGAAAGTGTTGTTCAAAGTTATATTTTGAGTTTTGGTTAACAAAAAAAAAAAGAAAGAAAAATTTTTTTAAAAAATTCCCTACTAGAACATGGAGGAAGCAGCAGAGCAGACCTGTTGTTTCCTGAATCCTACAGAAGCTAAGCACAGCTACCTGAAATATTTATTAGTTAATAAAGTTTTGTTGCCAGTTGAACAGCAACTTCTTGTCTGTTTTCTTGTGACAAGTAGAGGATTTGTGGGAGTTTACAAAGCTATTCCTAGCCCTCACGTGTGAGACTTAGTTTGCTAGTATGTTTTATAATGCAACACTCAGAAAGCTGCTGCTTTGAAACAGAATAGTGATCTTGCTTTTGATTTTGTATTTTCTCCCTTTTCCTCATCTCATGTAACTTCACTTCCTTTCCATAAGCTTGCACACTGTTGGAAGACTTTGTCTGAAAGATCTGCTGGAATCCTGCTGGAAAAAATAATCTTGTTTTATTCGTTTTTAAGGTCTAAATGGTAAATTCTTTCTGTCTCCACAGAGTTAGATATTCACACCTTTGGAGACTGTCACTTCTTCATTTACATGCAGAAAGATGGATAAATGCTGTAATGTTCATAAATGTAAAATATCTTGAAAATTATTTAAGTCACTAGAATTAGAAAAAAAAAAAAAAAAACCAACAAAAAAACCCCACAACTTTAAATTACCCAATAAAGTGATATCACTTGGTTTTTTATTTATTTGTACAATCAGCTAAAATACAGAGTTGTGTTGCGTGGTTATACTGAAAGTATTAGTTGCTTTTATTTAGGTGTGAGAAAGTCTTTAATTCCTGGTTCCTGTTACTTGCTTCTGCTTACTAGCATTCTTCTTTCAATACAGTTGCCAGTGTCACTTTTAGTTTATTAATTTATAACAACACATCTTTATTATTTAAAAAAAAACAACAACAAATCACCACCAAAGAACAGCAACACCACACCTGTCTTCATATTCTTAGGAGCACAAGCTAGTTTTTATATTTAGATTGACTTGTTTTCCATGAGATATATTTGATTGTATAATAATGCAATACATAACTCATTAGCTTGCGTGCAAAGTGTAGCACTGGAATTATTAATGCTTGCATTCTTCTCATTTAGTCATTGTTAAAGTAAATCTTTATTATGTGGACAGATGGATGGGGGAGGGGAGTGGTGCAGTTCCTAATGAAGAGCAGTAACTTTAATTGCAGATAACAAGGAGTCCAGATCAACTTACTTAATTTTCCTTCTGGTTTTCTGTCAGTTCTTGCTTTAATATAATAAGAAATGTGATGTTGAGATTTCCTGCTCTCAGTGTATTCTCTATTTTCCCTCTTCCAGTGAAAACAGAAACAGTATCTAATTTTTTATATTTGGCTGGGATCTCTGCCTGTGTCTGTTTGGTAAAAGTCCAGGGGTAGACAAATAGGAAAGGTGGTTCTAAGTCTCCTTTCCATCCCTTCCCTTATTCCTAGGCCATCCGGTCACAAACAAGTCCATTGCCTACTGAAAAACTGCTTCAGTTCTGATTATAGAGGTGGTCAGAACTTAGATAAATTCTGTAGATAGAAACTAAAATTAAGAAACTCGGATGGCTATAAATACCCCAAAGGTAGGTGAGCTACCAAGCAATGATGAATCTATGGCAAGAAATTCTTCTTGTAATGGGATATTCCACCAGTGCCCACTATGGAATTCAGGGCATTCGGTTTCTTTGTAGTAGCGGGCTGTAACGAAGGACAGAACATACAAACCAGCCAGTCACTGGCATGCCCTGATGGGACAATTTAAAAGCATTGTATTAAAATCAAAGAATCATTAAGGTTGGAAAAGACCTCTGAGATCATCAAGTCCAATCATCAACCCAACACCACCATGCCTGCTAAACCGTGTCTGCAAGTGCCACATCTACATGTTTTTTGAACACCTCCAGGGATGGTGACTCCACCACTTCCCTGGGCAGTCTGTTCCAATGTTTGACCACTCTTTTGGTAAAGAAATTTTTGCTAATGTCCAATCTAAACCTCCCTTGGTGCAACTTGAGGCTGTTTCCTCTCATCCTGTCGCTTGTTACTTGGGAGAAGAGACCCATACCCTCCTTGCTGCAGCCTCCTCTCAGCTTCCTTTCTTGCAATTCTGCCTTTTGGAAAGCAATTTCAGATTAGCTAAATAGCATTTCGGTGGTCATTCGCAAATGACCCTCCTGCTGAGGAGGAAATGTACCCTAGTACAAAGGGGTAGGAAAAGTGGTTGTTTTGCCCTACTTTAACCTTTTGATAGGCAGTTGGATAATTAAACTAACGTGTACTTTCTGTGGATTGGTTATGTTTCATGTTCTAAAATGCTGGAGTCTTAAAATTAGAATATTTTTAATTATAGTAGTTATAAACCACGTCAAAGTCTACACAGGTCAGCCAGTTTCATTGCACTGGGCTGAGAACTGTGCTTGAAAGGAAACAGTGTGAAGTGTTTTGGGACAAAATACAAAGAAATCTGACTTTCCCTGAATAGTTAAGTCATGGCTTCCAAATCCATGTGAAAACTTTTTATGTGCACCCAGCCCAAAGCATGTGCATTGTGTTGGAATGAAATGTTCAGAGTTGTTTGGTCTCTTCAGTGTACTGTCCAATACTTCAAGGTGGAAGAGCTCCTATTGTGCAGTGGTGACTTTTGTAACTGTTTATTTCCTCCTCCTCTCTATTGCCATAATTCTGAAATAAACCTACAAGTGTGGGGTTTTTTTGATTGTTGTTTCTTCTGTAGTCTGACAGCCACTACTCCAGCCATTCCAGCAGCAATACTCTCTCCAGCAATGCCTCCAGTGCTCACAGTGATGAGAAATGGTATGACAGTGGAGAACGCACCGAATCAGAGCTGAACAGCTACAACTACCTTCAAGGGACTTCAGCTGACAGTGGCATAGATACCACTTCCTACGGACCTAGCCATGGCAGCACTGCCTCCCTGGGAGCAGCAACATCTCCCCGTACAGGGCTAACAAAGGAGAAAGTGGCACCGCTGTGGCATAGCTCCAGCGAAGTGGTCTCCATTGCAGACAGGACATTAGAAAAAGAGAGCCACATGGACCGAAAGACCGAGTCTTCACTGAGCCTGGATATTCACAGCAAGAGTCAACCAGCCTCCAATCCTCTAACGAGGGAGAACAGTGCTTATAGTCTTAGTGATGCTGTCTCACATACAAGGTAATTTTCACCTTTTATGAGATTGACCCCTCCACACTCGTTTTCCCATTCTCACACTCTAACCTATAAAAAGTAAAAAGTGGATGTCAAAGGGAGAGGTTTCTACTTATATTAACCAGTGTTTTGAAAGATCTTACTATGCAGAATGCTTGAAAATTAAGACCACCTTTAGTCTTTGCATCTGCTACTGCTTGTAACACTAAAGAATGTCTTTGAGAGCATGTTCCATACGGCTGCTACTAAAGTAATGGAAGACACACGTCTGATATGTTCATAAGGAGTATCTTGCAACAACTGCAGTTCATATGTGGATGAGAAAGGATGTCAGTCCATATTAATAATGAACAGTTTAATATGAGAGTCTTTTTTAGACTTGCAAGTACATATTTCAGATGTTTTGCAACTTTTTCCCCAGTCTTTTTGTTTAGAAGTCTGCTTGCAGTCAGTACAATCAATACTGAGAGCAGATTGCTTGGGAGCACTAGCATGTAGATTTTAATCTTTCTGCTGCAGGCTTCTGGGTATGACACATTACAGTCACCTTCCCTCTCTCCCTCAGTTTTGCCACTTGTAAAATTGGCAATATCAAGTACATGTATAATGTGCTTATAACACCTCAGATGGAAGATACCCACTTTACAAGTTAATCAGAGCTGCTTGAGGCAGAAAATAGTTTAGACCATTTTCCTAACCCATTTCCCAAGAAGTATTCAGTGTGCTATTTGAAAAATATTTATACTGTGTCATACTAGCAACAAGAAGAAAACACAGCTCTTTCAGGGAAGATCAGTGATCATCATAATTCGCTGGCCTTGCAGGGCCTGACTGTTGCATTTTTAGGCACCTCTGTGTTGAGTATGCAGCTGAAATACCTACAGACTTGAAGTCTGAGACAATTTTTGCTAATCGCTTTGAGCAAAGCTACGTTTATGCAAGGCTAGATGTTTATGAGACAGTTTAACAACTCCTACAGTAGCTGCAAATAGGGGGTTGTCATAGAGACTGGAATGTAGTGAACTGTCTCCATGTGCTATGTCATGGTAATTTTGACTAAGTAATCTATTAATAGTGGTCCCACTTTGGTTTTCTACCTCTCTTGGTTGGCCATTTTTGGCACTAAAGCTCGTATTCGGTTGCTGTAAGTCCCACCCAGGTCCTTGAGACTGGTGTTTCCAGTAGCTCTGCACTCATGAAGGACTTAAGGAAGTCTGTATAAACCTCTATGTAGAGGAGTTTACTTAGATTTTGTGCAATATCAGCATGCCTCCCTTTCTTGAAGGTGAAAATCTACGTTGTCGTTATCTATCGTTTTATACCTCTTATTTTCAGACAAGCATGTTTACATGCATTTTTTTACGTTCATTGGAATTTACCATGTGCCCTGCAGCACTTGTCTGAACGTAACTAGCAGTAGCATTAAATGCGAGATTCTTACACAAAATGATGATTGTAATAAAGTTGTCAGTAGCATTTCCATTTGGAAGGTTTTTTTCGGAAGTGACTCAAGGCTGGAAAGCTTACATGGAACTCTTGGAAGCTTTATTGTAAGGCTGTGCCCCATGGGAATGGTATCTTTGTACATCTGAGGTCCTGGTTTCCTCTTCTGAGCACCAAATAGGGTTAGTTTGTAGAAAAGCCAGGAAAATGTAATAGAAAGAAATGTATCTTTGCAGGGTAGGCATACCCTGACAGCTCTCATCTTTGTCTTCTGTAGATATACTTTGCAACTTGATTGCAAGCCTAAGTCTAGGATGTTGTCTCATTATTTATTGTGTGATAGCATTGTGTCTTGAAATATGGTACATTCTCTCATCGATTTGGACTAATTTACCTGATCTTTGTCTGATGATACTGAAACGATTCTCCATGTTTTTTGGGAGGCAGTTACTGAAATTTCCAGATAAAGGTTCCTGAGGCTTTATGGTAGAGAAAACAGTTGTTTTTTTTTTTCCAGTTCCATTTAAAAATGCAGCTCTTTGCAAAGAGGACTAATAGCAATTTGTAGATCATGTGAGGAGCGATACTTGAGAGAGACTGCAGTCCTTGCACCCACATCGTTTATTTTGGTGGAGAAAACCCAGACCGACTTGTGTTCCTTCTTTATTATTTCTTATTTTTGAAAACCAGAACATGTGTTTGATGCCTCACAATAGAGCAAAGGCACATTCTGGGCTAAAAAGCTTTCACTTTGTTTCTCATGGCATCCTCTGTTGGTGGTTGCAGACTGAACAGTGGTAGTGGTGCTGACCTGAGGAAACCCTATGTCCAGCTGTTTGCTTCCAGCTCTCCCATAGCTCTTTCTGTGAAGGCACAACAGCTTGGAGCTGGAGGCTCGTTAAACTGGCACTTCTGAAACATAACCGCAGCTGCCTGCTTCAGGGTGGTGAAGGAGGGGGGACTGAAGGATGATTCTGAACAGGCCACTCTTCATGAAAAATGAACAGCTTAATTGGTGTGTTCCCTACCAGTTTCTAAATTGTTATCCTTTGTTGCTTCTCACTTCTTTACCTTTTGCCTGTGTGTGCCAGAATGTCTGAAACATCTTTAGAGTTGGGGTTCTGAGCAAGAAGAAAAGGACTTTGGCCCTAATAAGAACTTGGTGACAAAAGATGAGAAAATAACCACAAATTAGAGTGTTTGTGTCTATAGAAGACAGGAGCGATAATTAGTGCTCCGATCATTTGATGGTGCATAAAAGAACTTGTACCTGAGAATTGGTGGCAAAATGTAAATTATAGTGATTAACTTTTACAGCAGAGCTGCTGGCTGGGTTTTATTTTTCTTCTCCACGCCCATTCCCAAAGTCCTTCCTGATGATTGTGCAGATTTCTCATAGCATCCCAGGAGAATTGCCTTACGTAGGCCAGTAATTATACAGAATCATTATAGCTGAATGTCAGTAAATGAAGCCATATGCGCTGATGACATCAATTCCCTAGGAAAAAAATAAAATCAAAAACTTTCATTTCCACCTAAACTATGTGATTTCTTATGGTCCTCTTCCAAAACTAAAAGGAAAATCATGGGTATTTCTAAACAAGTATCTTTTTCATTACTTCTAATAATTTTGAAATACTTAAACTGTTACTTAATAATTGTAGAATACTTTTGTGAATGGCTCATCTGCAATTCTTGCAGATTGTAGTGAAGTATTTGAATTTGTCCTTAATTTAATCCTTGATGTCTCAATAATTGAGGTGAGGGACAAACAGTGGCTATCTCTGTGTCCTGAGAATGAGGGCTGAATTTATTCCAGATAATAATCAAGCTGGTCCAGGTGTCTATTACAGTATGAGAAATCCTCTGCACGCTTCCTGGTGTCGAATACTCTGATAACCTCCCATCACTGCCATAGTGATGCTGATGCTGCAGCTCCGATTTAGTTTTTCTAGAGTCTGTCCAAAGCCTTTTGCTCTCCAAATACTCTCTCGAAAATACATGTGTCTGTCCATATCCCATTGGCCTGCCCGCATTCACTTGTACGGTGAAAAGCTTCAGTCACATCCGCAGTTCTGTGCATAGTTCCTGAAGCAGAATAGCCTCCAGAAATACTCTATTGTAAACATTATTATTTTATTGTATATACATATTCATTTTATGTAGAGCATGCTGAATATAATTTTTTACCTTCTTTGCTTAGTAGTATTAAGGATCATCACTGCCGGCCTATCTAGGAGTTGTTACTGGTTTTTATCAAGAGATTCTTTCTCACAACTAGCACTTCCTTGAGAACTACCTGATGGATTAAAGAATTCTGAAATGTGATCAGAACTTCCCTTTTCCTACACTGAAGCAAAAAGACTTCTCTGTTTCTTGAGTGTATTAGAAGGGGATAAAAATTAAGAAAAAATAAAAAAGCCCTATACATTTTTTTTAAAGATGTGCATCTTCCCCAGATCTTGGCGGTTTAATTTTGCAGTGGTGATGCCTCACAGGTGGGCTGGTTTACTCAGCATCTGTAGGCATTTTCTTGCCGTATTGAAAAAGAAGAGAGAACTTCCTTGCTATAAATTATGTTTACTTGTATCTGTTACAAATACAAAGGTTGTGATGTGCAGCGCCAAATATATTTTCCTTTCCTGTATTTTCCCAATCTGCCACGTTTTGTATAGGCCTTTCACTTGTACAGGTGGAGGGAAGAAAAAAAAGAGTTCTGTAATACAGAATCTGTATTATTGTCATTTGATTTGCCTGCATATGGGGAGATGCATCTTGCCCCTGATGTGAGGGGCTTTGCAGCCATCTCCATGTGCATGGGATGGAAGAGTAGGCTGCAGCAGCCGGTGCTGTTTGAGGTGGGAAGGCTACAGTCCGCTCGGATTGCTCGTTAAATCCACAGCACTTAACTGTTGGGACTCATGGTGCTTAACTTGAGCTACATGAAAATGAAACATAGTTGAAGGTGATTTTTTTTTAAACTCTCTCTGCTGTTGATGGAGAGAGTGGAGAAACTCCAAAGCATTAATTCTCCATGTGTATCTGGGACACCTAATTTAAGATGAGGAGAACCACCTGCTAAGAATATTTCTCCATTGACTACAGCAGGTGCCAGACAAGTGGCGTAGATTAGATAGCTGACTTTTATAAGGCTAAATGTAAGTAAGATTATTTTCCCAGGTGGCAACACAAATTTAACCTTAAATTTTTTTCTGTTTCAGTAAGAGATAGACGTGAAAATGCATTGTTTTATTAAGATATGAAAACAGTGAGGAATTTTCTGTTAAGCTAAGAAGAGACTATTCAGTGACTTTATTCAGCCTTCCAGCTGATTTTTATTTCTCAGTCAGAAGCTGTTCTTTACCAAAGGACCATCTGTTTCAAATTCCTTCCTCGCTGTGTTGGATACAGGGATGAAAATGTGGCAAAGTTGTGTAAAGAGCTGGTAGAAAACTGGTCTCCAAATGTATGATATTTCAGTGCTAAGGCTGTACACAACATTTTCCTATGACTTTACTTAGAAATGCCTGACCTTTTAAGGTTGTTACAGTAAATACTGTCTTAAGCCCTAGTGCTCATGATACGATGCAAGTTGCATGAGATTTGATATGAGCATAACTAAAGAGTAGCTCCCATCTAAAGCCCCCCTCCTTCTTACAACAATAAGCTGCAGTTGGTCATCCCAGCTCTTTTCTTCTGTCTAGACAAATTGTGATATATGTTAGAGACCTGCTCAAGAGCCTCTTTTTGCAAATGGTAACTGCTTTTCAGGCAAAATCCAGGAAGTCCTCTTTTGAAAGATGTATGTGTTTCTTCTTTGGTTTGTTGAGAGAGATTTCCTGCTGCTTAAGTTCCTTCAAAACATGTTTTCTCCCACAGCCAAGAATTTCAGCAAGAAATTTGATTTACTTTCTTTTTTGCCAATTCAGCTACAATCTCTTGTATTACTGTTAAGCTACCCAATGGCCATGAACCCTAGGTTTCCCATTTGTTGAAGGGGAATGAGGGGATGGTGGTGTATTGCAACCACAGAAGTTGCTTCCAAAATTTTTCATTGCTATGTGAGATGTTTTTAATGAAACCTTGGTAGAAGGCCCTTGAGAAGAGCGAACTAGTTTTGCTACCTGACCCAGAGCACTTAAGCCCAGAGTTCTGCTTTAAAAATAAACAAGGTGCATATGTACGCATTTGAGGCAAATTTTCTTTCTTACATTTTTCTCCTAGTACCATGAGCTCACGACACTCTGCCAGCCCGGTTGTTTTCACCAGTGCCAGAAGTTCACCTAAGGAAGAGCTTCATTCTGCTACTTCTCCCCAGCTCGCACCTTCTTTCTCCTCCTCCTCTTCCTCCTCATCTGGTCCTAGGACTTTCTACCCTCGCCAGGGTGCTACTAGCAAGTATCTGATTGGATGGAAAAAGCCAGAAGGGACAATAAACTCAGTGGGCTTTATGGATTCAAGAAAGTAAGACTGGTTTTTGGTTCTCTTGGTTGGTTATTTGTTTTAATTGTAAAGAAGCATTGAGATCTGTGATGCTTTTCTGTATAGAAGAGCTCAAGACTCTTTAATAGCATGCTCAGTCTTCTGTAGGACTTAATCTCTAGTCTAGAGTTTTGCAGTTAGGCTTAAATATTTGATAGTTAGTTAATCTTATTCCCTGTTAATTTGTAAAAGATATTTTTTAAAAATCATTTCTAGAGAGCTGTATGGATTTCGGTCCTATTAAAGCTTATCTTTCCTTGGGATGTCTTAAAGGATACTTAAAATGCTGTTTGAGCAAATACTAAAAGTCCACTGAATGTAGACCCTGGGTTTTTCTTGACTCTTATCCATGTAGAGGTGCCATGCATGCTGTGCATTCACTCTGTGGCACTCTGTGTTGCCTTGTTAAGATTGCTGCCAGTATCCAGTCTAACTGGCTTAAAGGAAGCCAAGGTCTCTCTGCGTTACAGTACGCAACCATCTCTTTTGGAAGAGAAACTGAGAAACAACTTACTGGAGAAAATACTGTTTCTTTAAGTCTAGTACGTGGTTCAGAAAGCCCATTTCAAAATAATTTATTAGACCCTTTTGGACTTTCACTGGGTCAAGCACAGTGTCCCTGGATGATACCCAATAACTGGCCGTCAAAAGGAGATGGTGAAACTTTGTGATAACTGCATTATGAAAAGCCAGTTAAAAGATTAAAAGAACTTTGTGATTTGCTGCTTTTGGGCTCATTTGAAGACATTTGTATTTTTTAGTTTTGTACAGAATACATGTTATTTTAATAGATTCGGTCCCTTATTGGGAAAATGTATTACAATAACCTGTAAGTATATTGCTAGTTGATGTTTTTAAACAAGTTTGTTGCTTCAACAGGTATTTGTTAAGG